CAACAACAACAACAACAACAACAACAACAACAACAACAACAACAACATATAACAGTCAACAACAACAACAACAACAACAATCCGCTGAGCATTCTTCAGCCTTCCTGGGGGTTGCTGAAGAATGCTTGAGGTAGCACTGGCAGTGCGCCCAGGAGACGTACCAGCTGTACCGGCGAGAGGCCAGGTGCCAATAGGTGACGGTGTCCAAAAAGACCACCCCGGTCAAAGGTCCAAACACCACTTGCTAAGGTCTGCTTTGGGATCCATACCTATTAGGTGATCTATACTTACTAGAGGTCTCAGTATGTTTCAGTCTTTGCTCCCAGTGGCCCCCTCGTGGGTGCCCTGGGTGCCCGGGCAGGGCGAATCGAGGTCCAGTTCAAGCCTTCCGATTGGAGGAACTTCTCGCATGCCAACTTGTCCTGGCGTGGTGCCGAGGAACCCGAGAATGGTGTGGTGCCGAAGCTGCAAAAAACCGTCCCAATCACTGGAGTCCCGGTCGTCCGAAAACGACCCGAAGCATGCAAACGAGGAGGCCAACCACCTGAATTCCACTAAACAGGAGGAAAACTAAACAGGAGGGAACACTGTCTTGGGGAAGGAATTTGTGCAATTTCTTTGTTGGGGGGATGTTTCTCCCCCACCAAGTGCACGTCAGGCTTTGTCTTATGAGAGTGACCCTGCGTAAGAGGACAACCGACTTGCAAAGGAAAATGTGCACGGCAAGGCTGGGACCATGTGGCCTCAGTTCGTGACGACCATGCGCCCCCCCGAAACACAGCATAAACATGCATAAACCTCATAAAACCGTCCTCACCAAAGTTCATGGGTGTCAATTCGTTCAGGTGCTAGATTGTGGGCTGAAAGATGGCCGTGAGTCAAACGCGTCCGCCTGTTTCAGGTGAGCATCTGGCAAAACATCACCCTGCCACTTCCAACAACACCTCCCCAAACCCGCATACCCACGTCGAAACCCGCTTACCACCGTGGCCGAAACCCACTTCCCCCCACCCCAAGAACTTCGAACACCGAGGCGAAACGGGCGCCGAGTTCGTGCGCGCCTTGTGGCGGGACTTGGGGTCGCCGGGGGTGGCCTCGCTCAGCGGCAACACGTCCTCGGAGCGGACGCGAGGGACGCCTGCGCGGGCGGCGTCCGCGGCCTGGACTCCTCTGAGAAAGGCCACTTGGGAAATGTTGGGAATGAATGCTCGTTCCACTGTTCGATCATGTTCGATCATGTGAACATATGTATATATACATATATATTATATATCCAGGACCCTCCAAGGGGTGCCCAATGGATATAGGTAGTGTGGGGTAGTCCATTGGACACGCCTTGGAGGATCCAGGTATATATATATATAATATTGTTTTTTTAATAGGTCAACTGGTCTAGTTCTGGTTGTGTGCTGTGAGACCCAACACGGTCTAACCACTTCGCCAACCGCTCACAGTTCTGTGCCGGACACGACCGCGGACACCACGGCGACGTCCACGGCTTCCGCGCTCGCTCCAAGGGGCGGTGGGGCCGTAGACCCCGGCGCTGCTCATCATGATGAACTGCTGGCAGCCGCCCTTGGCCTCGAGGCGGAGGACGAAGTAAGCAGCAGCAAGCGAAGCCAAGCGATCTGATCTGGCTGGGTCCCATTCCCGCCAGCTTCTTCAAGTTGAGAGTAGTTGAGAGAGTAGTTGAAACCCAATGCCTCAACTTGGCCACTAAGAACTTCTGGAGTCATGTTGCATCATGCCTATAACATCATAGCCATGGCAAACACGGCCATGGCCTTCACACCTGCCTGCAGCCAACTTCTCGGGACTCAAAAGCCACGGTACACGACAGTACCCAGCTGTCTTGACCCTGACACCTTCATGAACGAATGTGACTGGTCGATACCGCCAAACACATAATTCGACGGTTCAAGAGTTCATGCCAAGAATGGAGAGAATGAAGCAGCCACCTCTTGCAGGGGAACAAACCGCTGAATAGGCGCCTGCCCCAATGGTGGCCATCCATCAAGTGGCTGTTTCCTGGACCTTTCATTGGCTCAAACATCTGGTGGCGGCATACATTTATCTCGATGTTCCACCTTTTCTTCGGTGCATCGGCATGTAGAAGCGAGAGGTGTCGGTTTCCGGCTGCGGCCAACGTGCAAGTCAGCAAGGCACCAATGGAGAGGGCTCTTGGAGGCGGGTGGCTTTGGGCTTTCGCGGAGAGGCTCCACATCCCAGCTTTCTTGGAAGCCGAAAAGCCATGATCTCCGCGAAAAGCGGTAATCTTTGGGGACCAACCCCCGCTGCCGTCCAATGCTCATGGTAGGCCTCTACCAGATTGGGCACCTGAGCCTGTACCCTCCAACCTCCCCAAACCATCCCCAAACCCATGGAACCCCCCTGCACCACCGCTCCCTCTCACCGCTTCAAACGCTAACCTCCCGCCTTGACGCCCCGGACGACCGGTTGAATCTCTTCGAGCTTTCGGACCTCGAAAGCAGCAGTGGGCGAACGTGCCGAGGTCTTTGGGAGAGCCTAGCCTAGCTGTACAGCATGGATCCCAAAAGAGTTCTTCAAGCTCATCAAGTGTACCAAGTATAAGGACCACAAAGCTCAACAAACTTCTAGGGTCGCCAAGGCTCAAGGAGGGTTCAGGGATCAGACTGAGACTGTATGGAGTGAGAGCACGAAGGCAAAGTGCCAAGGCCCTTGGCAAAACCAAAGGCAAACTTAATTATATATATAACAATATTCTGGTGGGTCCAAGTCAAATCACTTCAATACAATCCTAGACCACACCCCTTGACAGCCTCAGCATGCACAATGAACAACCACCTAGACTTGCACGATCTTGCACATTTTTCCAGAAGTTCACCAATGTCCACAGTCATCCACAGTCACTATATAGCATCTTCTTTTGCATGGTTCCCATCTGGGCCGACTCGAAGACCGAACCAGGCGATCCGCGCGTTGTTGTCGAAGACCACGTCGAACTTACCGGCCTTCCAGGTGTGGTGGGAGAACATCACCCACGTCGACCGGTCGTGGAATCGGCGACGGTCACCGATGGGACTGGCGGGGGGGGGGCTGACTCACTCGGCGTGACAACGGTTGGACGGCCCTGCAGCAATGAAAATGGAACCTCAAGGACCCAAGATACAAAACAATACACTCCCAAAACCATTTAACAGGAGGTGAAGACCACTTCCATGATGATTCCCCCTTTGAAAATGCCAATGGTAATAATATATGTATCAGTGATGTATCAGTGTTCATCCGGATATTCCAGAATCTGTAACAACCTGAGGTCTCTGAAACAAAATCTCGGGTGTCCAAACCTCAGGGATCCCTTCAGGGATCCTCTGGTGGGGTGTCCAAACCTGCAGCATGAAGAATCCCAAAGATTGGAGGGATGACAATCAAAAATCAACTTACAGTGGTTTTGAAGTAGATGGCACAATCCCCAAGTTTGGTGGTTTAGATGGACACCTATATAACATCTTGGGGTTTGTTCCATCTACTCTGAACACCACTATAATCATGCCAGTCCCACATCCCATGTCTGGGTCATTCCATCAATCTCTGTGACCCGTCAATGCAGGTTAAAACCCTGGAATCAGTTAACCCAACAAACAATCTTTAACTACCTCCCCAGGGAAAAAAAAAACATGCACCACCCCAAACTGGCAGCTTGTGTTGGGAATCCAGGTGTTCACATTCATGTGAGAAAACATTACAAAATAAAACGCCAGCAAACGCAAAAACAAGACACAGCAAAAAAGCGCACACACACACAAAAAAAAGGAAAACACGTCCCATCTCTTTGGGCTCTTCGTTTTATACCCAGCCACTGCCGAGATGGCACGCTTCAACTCCTCCGGCTGCTTCCGATCCGCGCGGAGCACGGTGACCCCCTGGAGCGGACGAAGGCTCCAGGACTGGACTAGGAGGGAGGTCAACCTACCAGGGATTAGTGGGTTTTGACCCACCATACAGATCATTATAGATCTCCTATAGGGCTCCTAAATACCTTCTAAGATCTTCTAAGAAGGTGGGACTGGGGTGGGTGCCAGGCTCCAGCCATCCCGAACCTAAGGAGGTACGACTGGAGCCCTTGGGTACGGTATATGACTGTATCCCTATGAAGTCCGGTAAAACCTGATCCTGCAAACCTCTTTGAGTGCTATATTACCAACTGTCCAGTAAAATGATGTCTTTGAGCTTTGAGTATGGACTGACCACTTACCCCAAAACCTGCAAAAACGAAGGGACCTGTTGCACTCTGTTCTCGACCGCCAGAGCGTCATCTCCCTATGGCCTGTAACGATGATGGTGAGGTTGATTGCAGGCACATTGACTGGGACACACCGGAACAGGATCTTCATCCCAAACGTCGCACGGGTCCACCCCCCACGGCGAGGATGCCCTGACCGTCTCACCGCCCTGACCGGAACATCGCTCCACCGGTATCTTCGGCGTCTTCGCTCGGCCGAGCTGCCTCCAACATCTGCTGGTACTCCGCGTCGCTAATGCCTGGAAGGCGCTCCTGAGTGACGTCGGGACTATGCGTTGGGACCTTTGTGGAAGTGACATATACCAGGAGGTCACAAAGGAGTGGTTTATGGACACCCCTTAACAGCTATAGAAGGGGCTATAAATAGACACCCCTTGGAGGGTCCTGCTATATAGACCCCTTTTGGGGGGGGCTCCAGTCGTCAAAATTGTTTCGCTTGGACCGAGATGGGTGTCAGGAGGGTCCAGCCGTACCGAAGCTGAGGAGGTACTCGTTGCCCGTCTAGGGACAGCATTACTAGTTAACATTACAGTGCAGTAGTTCAATGTAACAGTTCGATTGATATGTACAACGTCCCGTGCTTCTTCGATATGTTCTACAGATTCCAACATTCATTGGCCCTGAAGACTGACCATGGGCCCTGAAAACCCACTTCAGGAAGGCAAGGGTCCCTGCTACTATGACCCACAGCCATCGGGATTCGTCGGGAGGGTCGTGGTATTTTGCACCGTCCACGTGACTTAGACCACATACGGCATACGGCTTTTTCAAAAGAGAAGCACATCGCCGGCAATCAATGGCAGTCTGCGATGTCGCACTTCAATCATCGTCATAGCTAGTAGCATGACACAACCATGTGATGAATCAAACAGAAGCATGCTGCGGCAAATGTTAAAAAGTCATTCGAGGTATCTTGTCATGCAGGGCAACCACGCCAAGGGGAGTGTACCGCCTATAGACGCCTTGGTAGCCAAGCCACAACTTTCCGTTTCCCTCGATACACTGCCCTCACCACCTACTGACTGGTGGTGCTTTGTAGTGAATCAGGGAATGACATGAGCTCACAATAGACTCCTTTGAAAGCCTTTGGATCCCTTCCCTCATTTCCTACTAAGCACAAGTCAGCCTATTGGATTAGTAGAGGGGAATGCCAGTCTCGCCAAGCCATTGTCGATATGACACGGATACGACACGCTAAGCTTCAGGAAGTCCGCCATTGGTCTTGCCACGGTTGCACACGACCTCGACTCGCGGCAAGCTCCATCGCACCATCTCGCGAGTGGCAGGCTTGGTGAGGCTCATGAAACGTTGACAACGACGACCCACCACTGGCTGGAAATACCCCAAGTCAAAAACAAACATTGGCCCTCAACAGAACCCTACAAGTCCAAAGACCCAGGAATACCAGGTCTTTTACCTCCTTACATATTGGGTTTTGTATAACCATCTCCAGTAAAGTGAGGTCTTTGACTTGTAATGGGACCTAATAGCAGCCACCGATTCCGGACCATTCCCCCGGCATCTTGGGCGATGTATCCCACTCACGGCCTTGTCTTTCAGGGCTTTTTGCCCCCAGAAGAGGCCCTGGAGCAGTGGTCATGATCCCATCCTCGGGGGATCCTTCGGCAAGGAAAATGGAAATACAATATGGCAATATGGACGTCCAAAGTCTCATGCATGGAAATGTGCCTCAAAAATATCTATTAATATGCAATAAACTTAATATGCAGCATGTGTTCAACCATCGCCATGTTAGATGCAACACATCCAATAAACTCTTGTCGATCTAACTCATCGATCCATCCATCCAATCAATCTATCCCTGCCAGCGGGCTCTCCGAGCTACGTCCCCTGGTGCCACTTGGGTCTTCAGCCTGAGGGGCCACTTGGTGGCCCAGTGCCCGAAGCTTGGCGACCAAATAGCAGCCGATGAAGCGGGTGCCCCCCATGACCAAGATGCGCCTTGGGCAGGGCAGGGCGCGTCGGGCGGCAGGGGGGGGCGGCACGAGGCAGGCGATGCCATGCTGCATGGGTCACGGGGTGGGGTGAAGGGCCAGGTGTGTGGGAAGTGAGCTTCAGAATGGACGAGTTGCTATAGTCACTATACAACTTAAAACACTCAGCATGTTTGGTCACAACACAACTGCTGGCAGATAATTGCCAACTTACGGTCTTACTGGCTCCTGCCCATCAAGAGCATGCTTTGCCAAACCCGATCCATTACAACTTCAATTGTCTATGTTCCATCTACCCGTATACATGCTTCCTTGCCCAGCCAAGGTGCTTGCATCCAGCGGCGCCGACCGCCACTCGCGCTCGTACGCGTGTTTTTCGCGAAAATCGCGCCTGCGGGAATGGGTGGTGGATGAATGTAGACATGAATGTAGAGAGAGAGAGAGAGTCCTCCAGTCCCGCGTGTGATTGACCTTCCCCCCAAACAAAAACATGGAAGTAAAAAAGCAGTCTATATATTTTATAAAGGAAAGTGGTCTTTCAATGGCGATGGGTGGTTGGAGGGAGTATGAGAAGTGACCCTCACGATTCTTGCGGCCGGTCAAATGGATCCTACCATGTGAATCTTCAGTGAGTGCACCATGGTGCACGCCTCGTCAATCACAAGGAAAATGGAAAGAAGTTCTCAAGACCTCTTTTCCATCTCCGTGGCAGCCAGAATGTCCACCACCCATGATGGTGAAACGCGACAAGAACATGACGGACATGTGCACTCCCTGAAATCATCATGGAAGTGGAAAATGGTCCCCCGGAAAGACGCATCTTCCTCCTACACACGTTAACAGCGAAACAGGGGTGGTCCACTTCCATGGTTGATTAGTGTATGTATACATATAATGTATTATATAATTTATACCTTGATTGGTGATGATTGGTGAAGGTGAACCTTAGATGTCGTGATTGGATCTGATTTGGCTGATGTCAACTATGGATGGTTCCCTGAAGAGCTACGTCCTCGAAGGATTTTCGAAGAATTTCCAAGGATGAACCGGTCAACCCAAACCAAGTCGTACATCAGTTCCCAGCCAAAAGGCATGTCATAGATTCAAGGCAGCTGGATCTGTAAACATCCAAGTAAACCCCGTACCTGCCTACTCGAGATGTGATGTGGATTTTTTGGGCGCTAAACTTCAAATTCTAGTCTTCAGGGGAATTGAGGAACAAACTCACTGGCATTCTATCCTGTTCTTCTGTGGGGTTGTTAATCAAGAGTCTACACTACAAACCTCTCCGCATCTCTTTTCGCGTCTTTTCACGTGGACCATGGCGCCTTCGCCGCCAAGGTCGCAGCGCCCAGTGCCGCAGTCGCAGCTGCCAAGGCGCTGCCTGCGACTGACCGTGGCGCGGTCTTGCAGTGTTTTAGAGGGGCCGGAGACTGGGCGTGGACGCGGCGAGCGGGACGGCGAGCCGGTTGGCTCGAAATGGACTCTCTCAGAAAACCCCCAGACACGACCTGTCTGGGACTGTCTGTCATAGGACTGCCGCCCCAGAAAGACCCCCCTGGCACCACTCCAATGTAGGCATCTATGGCCCCATTAGTCGTGTCTGGGACCTGTTTTCAGTTGCACCTGGAACCCAGACAACTAAAGGATTTCAATTGCCATATTGGAACAACCATTTGTTTCTGGTTGTTTGGGGTTCCAGGTGGGTCAGGTTTTGGAGACCGACCTCGTACCCATTCCGGCGTTCGGACATGCGGTGAATCGGCGACGTCATGATTCGGTGGTCACCGTGCTGAAGCATGAAGCGTCAACCTGAACCCTAGGGCTCCAAATGGCTCTAAGTACCTTCGAATGGACGCTGCGAACGTAGCTCCTGGCATTACTACGGGAAGCTACTAGGAGCAAGGACGCTACAGCAGAGGTATCTTGGAGCGGTGAAGCCCTCGTGGGAGGGATGATCAAAAGGTTAGGTAGAACCGGTAGACATGTGAGTGACAGTCACAACCCAGGCCATCGTATTTTTGTAGGAGTGTATTCAGTGAATGGCTGCAACATGCCGCAATCCTTTTTCTTTCACCAGGACTTTTGATGATTTCGGGTCTTGCGCTGCACAAGGGAAAAGCAGGAACTGGTTCTTTCCCAGACACCTGTGAGACCTGCCCGCTGGCTCGCGCGGTGCAAGATCTAACTACGGCTGAACTCCGCCGGCTGAGTTCGCATTCAGCATGAGTGAAGAGATCCCCATCAGGGGTCATCCTGTGTCGCCATATCAGCAGCAAATCATGCAAACCATGAGTCGCTCTGGATGGAGTCCGGTCCAACCAACTCATTCGCTTCCACTGGTCCTTTGTCTCTTCGATTAACTTTCACTCCCCGACAGGGCTCTGCAAAAGTGCTCACCCCCTTTGCTTGGGGATGGGCCCGGACGGTAAAAAGATATGCCACCGCTCGCCTTTGACGAGGGTTGACATCTGGACATCTTGAAAACTGCCACTGGGACTGTGCAACATGACCAACTGTCGAAACTGACTGAAGCTATCTCTTTTGAAGGCAAAACCTTCCCTCATTCCTGCGAGTCGCACATAGTCGCAGCATGGATGGAACATGGATGGAACCCACTTTTCCGTGCTGGATCGTTCCAGGGGTTCATGCACTCTTGGTATTCGGACTGTTTGCAAGCCCGTGATTGAGCTGGGCTCCCGTGAGCTGTACTTGGAAGTCACGGTGGCATTGACGTACTCACCACATCTCAACAACATCATGTTGGAGCTTTTCTTCCAGGAGTCACAAGACGGAGTGCCGAACTTGGGGGATAGGGGTGCCCAGAAAAACATCCATTCACTGGATAGGACGAGCCACACCACCCCGACGAACGTGACTCCTGGTTCTCGTTGAACTTGTGGAGACTTGCGAGCCCTTTGCTAACCGAACCATCATTGAAACGCTCCTTGCTTCTCCGGGACGCTCCTTCCGTGCTCAAAGCCTGCTCTCGCCCCTCCTTCCGTGGCGCTTCGAAACGGGCGCCCGTGCCCCGCCGTGGCTAATTGGGATCAAGTGAGAGAGATGCCTCGGAAGTGACGCGGAGAAACCATGACTCACCCATGCTGGAGAAAGAAAAGCACACCTAAAAAAGACTTAAGCCTCCCGCGAACACCCAATGATCAGGGTATTATGAAGGCTACTTGAAACAACTGCCATCATACATTATATATCCACCTCCTTTTGATCCCTTGGTGGTTTTGGTCACAAACAGGCTTCTTTAGCTTGGTGGAATGGGACTCCGGTCACGTTCGCCGGTCGGGAGCCGGTCGGTTCCACCGGAACCCGGTCGTGTCTGGCTTTTCTGTGAGTCAAGGGATGTGATACAGTCAGGGGGTGTGTAGTGTATGTATATTTATACACTGGGACAAACACTTCACATGGAAGTGGTGGTTGCCACCTGTTTCTAGAGGAAAGTAGTCTTCCTTTCGGGACCATGCCATCCACTTCCATGTGATGTGTTCGTCAGAGTGTATATCACTTGTAAAGCACCTGAAGTCCGTGGTGCTGGTGGAACTTCAGGCGGTGTTCCGGTTTCCAGTTCTTGGATTGTCTAAGACGGATCACGCCATACTCCCCATCTCTTATCACCATGAATCCTTCGGGACGTGATCCTCCCCTCTCTCTATCTTGCCGACGTGATCCTCGCTGCGTCTTGGGACCCCAAAACTCCGTGCTTCTTCAGATCCGATGAGTCTCTAGCTGCTTTCAAAGGGTCACGAATGGCTATCTCCACACTACGTAAACAGGTCTCCAGACAGGGCAACCACTAGGTACCTGCGTTGGGGGGGCTCGTTGGAGCCGCAGTCAGCTCGATTCTTAGTGGCTCGAACACGCGGTGGATGTCCCTGTCACCGAGAACCAAGCGGCCCAAATGAAGGACCCTTCACCAATGGTTACAAATGACCTCACCAACCACTTGCAACCGAAGTGGGGTAGAGAGGAGCCATTTATATACTGCTGAGCCATTTACGGACCTATGTTCAAGCTGCCCAAAAATTCGCATCTATGATGTCTATCTTGCCAGAGTGTTTCCAGAATTTGCTCTCAGTTCCCAGCGGCCAACCGCTTCCGACGGCTTGCAACCCAGTCGCCAAGGATGATTGAATCATGTTGGCCGCATACATGTGAGCCTGCCTGCGCCATGTGTCGTGCACAATGTGTCTCCGGATCACAATGTGTGGAGCTCATGTTCTCGCTGTCAAATCATATCCAATACCTGGGCCACCCACTGGTGCAACAAAAATCTGCTCAATTAAGTTATACGAGGACACTCTCCAAACCCTCAGAATTCTCCAGATCTGTAACCCTTAACAGGTGAGACACGTTCACTGGACATCCATAGTTGGGCTCTTCAGCCTCGTTTGAGCAGGGAAACATGGCTCAGGCCGATCGCGTCTCCCGCGACCCGCCCGTCGCGAGGCGCCAAACGGCTCAGTCAAGGGCCCCGGGCCATTGATGAAGCAGCTGCATCTGCAGGAACTGCTGATCCAATGCGCCTGTGCATGTGAGTGCGCGTGGGTGTGGTCATCTCAACTCGGAGTGGGCACAAAAGGAGCGACCACTACAGAACAAACATAGAATACGAATTCTCAACTTGTTTAACAGGTTAATGGTGTCAGTCTTCAGCAAATGTGATGCAAAACTGCACAGTGCGACCATGTGCGAATATGCAACCTTGTGTGCACACGAATGAGCCTTCCATGCAACTACTAGATTGACATCGGGCGATCATATGAAGAGCTCCTTCAAAACACCAGCTCACGGAAAAAACACACATGCAGTCCATGGAAGATACTCCGGTGGCACAACAACCTTCGTCACCTGTGCCGGAGCCAACCACTACGGGACATGAGGCAAGGCCACACGAAGGAAGGGATGAGTGTGCAGCTTGGCTTCGCACAGCCGAATTTCAGTCAAGCTGCTGCTGGCATTGGTTTGGCGCTTGAGCATTCTCATCTCTTCCTCAGGGCCGGAACTTAAAGCACCAAAATATCGGAGTAGCTCACCGAATCTAACCCTGGATAGCTGTTTGGTGAAAAGCTCTGGATGGCTGCGTCCTCCGCAAACTCCGCAAACGCTTGGTGAAAAGCTCGTGAACGGTACACGTTTGCCACGTGTGGAGAGCACACACAACAAGACGCCGAGAGATCCGTCTAAGCTCAAACACCGGGGACATGTACTAGACATGCACAAATTTACATATATTATAACCAAGTTTATATACATAGAACCGGGAATCAGAATCACTTTTCTACCTTTTCTAGATCATGTCCGCCCACCCTTGCACTAGATCGAGGGGTTCGGGGTTCCTCGCTTCGAACTGGTCCGCTCCCTTCGTTAAAACTCTTCGCTCTTGCGTTGCCCCGAACAAGTCAGCAAGCACTAGACCAATGTAGGCTCTTGATATCCTAACACCCTGCATATTACGAAGAGGTGGAAACGATCCAATTGGGCGGGTGATGGATTTATGAATCAAGAGTCTAAATTCTGGATCAGCCAAGCTTCATGCTTCATCTTCTTCTTGCGCCGGATTTCACCCTCGGGGCACAGATGGCAGTGCCTGCAATCCTTCCCATTCTTGCAGCCACCTTCCTTCCAGAACCTGCCGCGTCGGTGCCATTCGTCGCCCCCGCGGCTCGCTCCAGGCCACCGCCAAGACTTGGTAAGACGTCGCCACCGCCCAGGGGTTCCCAGGAGATGTCTGCCATCACCGTCTCCAAGAGTGTAGCCATTTTGGGTGACTCTGTTCCATAGTTCCATACATTTGCCATCCCCGTTGCTACCGAGAATAGAGGTCGACCACACTCATGTGATCCAAAATTGGTGAACATCAAATGGGCAAAGGTGCTTCAAGTCATAACATCGTAAACATGTGCTTAACAAATCCATTCTCGTCAATTCATAATCTCATCTAAAATGGGCCCGTCGGAATAGCAATAAAATGGGTTGAGCAAACCTATAGGTTGGCACAAACATGTAAGTAGCCAAAGTGATAATTTGGCTGGGCAAACCTTTTTGGTTTCCACACCCACTATATTCAATATTGATATGCATTCTATATGTTTCCTTTTCTAGACGAGTCCAATAATGACAAAAACATACAAACACGTGATTAAGAACACCCATTTTGGATTCACCTCATCCATGTCTGACCATTCCATTTCTCTCACTCTTCCACTTCTGGAGACCAGCCCCAAGGCTTTTCCACACCGGTCACCACAAATCCCGCCGAACACCGGACCGGTCGACGAAACATGGGTCGACGATACTCATCGGGGCAAACCCAACCCCCCATCAACCCCTGCGGATCCGGTCAGAGGGTATCAACCGACTGGGGCCTGGCTCCCGCAAAAGCGAATCGACTCTCAAGAACACAAAGGGATTTTCAACACCTCCAAGGGCACTTTTTGTAGGCCGAAGAACGCTACACATGTTTTAGAGCCTAGCATGCCCTTCAAAGCACCCAGGTGAACCCAAACGATCCTGCTATTTGGTCAAAACCCGCGCTCGCTAAGCCCCAACGACCCCACAAAACATGGTCCACAAACCGGGCTGCACGCTGAGGTGCTTTTCCCCACGGCCCCATAAATCATCCCCAAAAGAGGCACGGCCATTTATAGGACCTTCCAAGTCCGGTGGTCTTTTTGTGCCATGTTTTTGGACTCCCCAAGCACCTCCGAGAGGCTGAGAGGCCATTTAATACCTCAGAAGGAAGGTCCTGGTCTCCTGGAAGGTGCTGGGGTCCTCTTGGAAGGTCCTGGGGTCCTGGGGCCGCTGGGCGGAGCTGTCGTGGCATCGCTTTGGGGTCGGCTCGACAGAGAGCCCAGGCACCAGGCGCATGGACGGCATTCTCCGTTCCCGTGCGTGGAGGAGCCAAGGGAAGGGTACACGCCTGCAGCGGACTTCGGGCGTCATGTGCGATGGAGGGAACCTCTGAATCAGCTGGATTGAGGGGAGGGGAG